CTGCATACTAGTAGTTCTTCGAGTTTATCGAGTGCTTAGCGACCATTCCCCATTGGAATCGGTTAATCCAGAATTCCCCCATCATCGGCGGTTCCGTAAATTTCGCTGACCTGAATCCCTTAATCCCCAGTGGATTCTTCCCCCCACCCGAGACTGCTGAAAGTGATAAAACGCTAGTCGTTCAATTGTAAATTCCAATACAAAGTTAGTCAACTTAATCTTACAAAGTTAGCATAGAGAATGGTTGTAAACAGTATCCAAGGGTGACAGACTGTTCCAAGGACAAACACCTGCTAATCGATTACTTTAGCATAAAGAGTGAACAGTTGATTGACAGCTTGCAAAGTGAACTAAATAAAACAAATAACACTATACAACACCATGGAGAACAATTCTTCGGCATCCCAAACCAGTACTAGGTTTGCTCTCTTGGGATACCAAAACGTCTGCGCCAGGAAGTGACACGGGTACTCCCCATGAATTAACAGGATGTTTCTCCAAGTTCGATATTCCGACGCCACTAGCGGGGGTTCAATTTCCATCATCGTTTGATGCGTCTCATCTTTTTCGTCTATCGTGGGAAAATTGCTCGACCTTATTCCCATCGCTTTGTTCTTCTGGAACTTACTGATGTTCTCTTCACCCCACTTCACAAAGTCGTCTCCCACTATTTATTCCAACTCATCACTAGACCTCTCCAGGACTGCCCGGAGGATATTCCTTAACAATTCATGGGATCTCTCCGACATTCTCGACAATCACGCGCATTTGGGCACCGAGAAGAGCTGGTCTATCAGTCGGTGTTGTGTTCTTGCATAAAAAATCACCATGTGCGTCGGGTACTTTCTATTGCAGTATGGTGCCACGATAGATCTCACCAGAAACTTCGAGCGGGCTGTCCTATGATATCCAATGCTGTGCTTTAGGTTCATCTCGTTCTCAAGAGCCTCCCGCCAGCTTCCAATTTTCTGCTCCGTTTGTAATTCTCCAGGGAACACTTCCACACTCAAGGACGTGACCAGCTCATGGGCACGCTCCAGGCGTTCCAAGGACTCAATCGAGCTGACCATGCTACAGAATCCCAAGGCAGTCATCAGATTCACGTCCGTCATTCCATGGCAATCCGCAATCAATTCTATATCATTTTTCTCTGATATACTCAATCTTCAATATAATTTGTGGGTTGTTAACCCTTTAAAATGCTCAACTCTTTAAAATGCTCCTGCATGTCTTGCTTGTCATGCCAGGCCATCAGGTGTCCTCTCGCGGAGTTCCTTGCTTTCACCATTTCCAAGTAGCCACCAGCAAGATTGCTCATGTGAACCGATTCGGGCACTGTGAACAAATGTACTCGACCACGTCGAGCTGCGCCTCCAACATCATCTTTGCCATGTTGGTATATGACGGTTTGTAGTCGTCCAATCCACCGGATCCACACTGGCTGATAACCTCCATTTCCAATCTGGTGTCAGCCAGGGTTCTCTCGTTTCTCTTGACCCTTGAAGCCGTTGAGATTAATCGCGTCAGCAACATGGGTGGTACTTGGTTCTCCTTCTCCCTTCCGCCTTGGGCGTCCCCTTTCCCAGCTCAAAACTTTGGGGTTGGTCACCTTGTCGTTCACTCTCTCCTTCAACTTCCTCACCATTGAATTGTATTTCTTCAGTCCTTTCCTGGCTCTTCTTATGGATCGACCTCACATAAACGGGCTCTCTTCAGCACTCTCTTCCGTAACTGACTCGGTCAGACCGTCCGATTCAGTGGATTCCATCTTTTTTTCTATAACTTTCGCATGATGGGCTGGTTCAACCCTACTTTCATCACGAACTTGGTGCCGTATCTCCGGATTATGCTCCACGTACTTTCCATGAAGGCTACACGCGTCCAAGCCTCGCCGGTTTTTCTCTCCAGCTCGCTCTGGTACCGCTCCCATTCTTCTTCTGGCAACGTGACCAGGAACGCCACTCGCATTGACTCATCAATCCTCCTTCTTCGAGGGGATTCACTGAGTAGCTTGGACTCGCCCTTCCTCTGTTATACTTCAACCAGGGACATAGACTCTACGGGTGATAGACTAGCTGGGGGCTCCTTAGTGGGAGACATAAATGATGACGGTGTCATCAACACCAGTGTTTCATTTGCTCCACCGTCTTCCGTCTCATTGAAATCGTATTCCAGCAGATCCCTCTCCAGATCACCCAAGTCGAAATCGCTCATTATGTCGCTCTTCCCTTCCTTGAGGTCATCTTCTCTATGATTCTCTTTGTTAGCATCTCCTCCATTGTCCGGTCTTGGCCCTGGTCCAGAGGGGTCTTGGCGCATGTCAACTCCTGCATCCGGCCGAGCCGGTATCGCCAGGTCGCCCGCATGACAAAAAAACTTGGTCATTCATGACAATTTCCACAGGTTCCTCGCCATGCGGCGCCACTTGCTCTGTTGTCAGATAGATGCCTCCTCTGGTTTCTTTACTCACCTCCATCATCACTACAGTCTCAGTTTTGGGCCACTTCAGCCTAGACTTGTCGTCAGCTGGGGTGTACACGTCGTTCCAGTGGCCTACAGAGACCTCTGGCTTCCTTGATGGTATGGCTTTGATCTTCTTTCTATAAGTCCGGAAAGGTGAAGTCGAAGACATGTAAAGCTGCAGCATTCCAGCTGATGAAGCGTGGCTCCATCCCCTCGCTCCGCTTGATCTTTTTTCTTCTACATCCTGCGCAGCTCCGATCCAGAACTGGACTGTTTACTCCCAACAGCATCTTCCTAATACGAGCATACAGCGGACATCTGTTTGGCAGTGCATTCAAGCCCGCCAGCCATGCGTCTTGGTTCTCTCTCACGTAAGCATAGGTCTCCGGCCAGGCCGGGATCCTCACTACGTCTGTGGTTCCTAAATGATGGGTCGATGGTTCCAAAGCTTGGGGTTGAACTGTACATTGGCAAGATTCTCGCCTCCCATTCGACATTTGAAGCTGTTGTTCAGGTCCATGAACACCCAGCCAGGTTCGGATATTTTCCCGAACAGTCGGTCGTCACTCGCCAGTCTTCTCAGCTCCCTTTGTTCTACCCAGTTTAGCACACAGCAGTTCACCACTGACACAAGGTTCACATACAAAACTGAATGCCTGTACGCCTCCACTCGTATGTCAGGGAACACGTGCACTACTGTAGGTCCATTTACAACCGTCACAAATTGGCTTAGTCCGAAGATCAGAGCGAGTGGATGGCATTCCCCACACCTCTTCACTTCGCTCTTACTTGAGATTGGCTTGTTCTCTCCAAAATGGTCAACGATGGCATTCCCCACACCTCTTCACTTCGCTCTTACTTGAGATTGGCTTGTTCTCTCCAGTCAGGCTTCTGTTCTGTTGTAACAGGTACTGCAGGAGCAAGGTCCTCCAGTCCTTCAGCTTTCGATAAGATGCTAACTCCATCTGAGTATCGAACTCCCTCTTTGGTCCCTGCAGTTGTTCAGGATACCTCAGTAGCACGAACAGGTCACCTAGGCGACCACAAGTCATCGCAATCAGAGTCAGCAGACCATCCAGTCGGAGATTGGCCAATTTCTATGTGAAAAGCACCACGGGTCCTTTGACAAAGCACCACGGGTCCTTTGACGATTATTACCAGTACTCTATTATAGCCCGTGGCTGTCATGCAGATTTTCTGATTTCTTATTTGCACTACTTCGCTGAACCCTGATGACTGATGACCTCAGTTTCCTTAGATCCTTCGCCTGTTGACATAACATACACAAACTTTTTGCAAAAATTCTTCATGCTGGGCCGTCCGAAGCGCTTCTGTGTCATATTGTAACACTTGTCCACACCCTGATGACCCATCTGGTTGTGCGAGCGAAAATATAATCCAGTTTGGTAGAGCTGTGTCAACACTATTGAATTGTATTTATAAAAAAATCTTCGTCTTTTTCTTTTCATTTGCAGGCGTCGATTCCGTCTTCATTTACATACAACGAAACCTTCTTTTCACGTAAAATTGCTTTAAAATCTTATCCTCTTCCAAATCACCTCTATCGGGCACTCCACTCTATATCCATTGTTTCAAATTGCTCAACATTCTGTCGCTTTTTTGAACACTTAGGACTTGTGATACTGGTATTTGGCCTTCAAATAAGTTTTCTATATGTTCATTTCTCCGCTAGTTAATTGTGAAGCATGGACATCACCCGTCCTTTTGACGCACTAGGTCTTCTTCTAAGGTGGCGCTTTCTGTTGCAAATGTTCTAGATTAGTAAGTGCAAGTAACCTAGTTGGACGTTTCGACACTGCTATCAATTCAAGCTCATCTGCAGCCTGATTGACTACATTTCCTTTTTCATCGGAGGCGTGTCTGTTTTTATCTGCGTCTTGATGCAATTTTTTGTCCCACCCGTGTTCTTTTCATTTCTTTAGTAAGGAATGAAATGCTCTTTCTGACACGTCTGAATTGGAATTTGTCTCTGGCAAGTTTCCCAGGCTTGAGAATTGGAATCATCAATTGAATTGTCTGAGTCGACTTTGACTCCCTGGAGACTGTTTCATGGCAGGACCTGATGATGTCCGACTGAGTCGAACGGAGCATCCTTTTGAGTCGACTTCCTGGACAACGTTTCGTCTCCGGATGAACACTCCGAGCACGATTCATACTCAATCTTCGTATCAGCTAACTGGACCCTCATTTCCGTGGTAATTTTTAGGTTGGCATCTTCGAACATGCTGAGTGCTGGCCAGTTGTTGACAGTAGTTGTAGGCTGTTTTCAACAGGACATCTTTTGGTTTTAAATTCACTAATTGGCTCACAATTGACCGGCAATCCCTTTGGACATCGCGAAACCGGATCGCTACCGACCGATCTGCTTTCTCTCTGTAACAGCCAATCTTCGCATCGTTCCCATCCGTTCATTATTCTTCCTTTCAAATTCTTTGTCGAAAAGATCACGTTTTTTGATTGACATCCGGTGACAAGTTCACTGTTTTGTTCAGCAGTGCTATGCTATTGAGGTCAATATGTCAATTCTGGTAAGTTGTTGATGTACCAGACTCGAGTTCAGCAACAAGTCCAATGGAGTTGGGTCGCTTCTCGCCATAATCTTTACTCTGGCAGCTTTTTCAACGGGAAGTTCAGTGTGTCCTGAAATGGGATGCCCTGATTTGTCAAATCATCTGGAGAGCGGCAGTTTATCGTAGATATCCTTATCCAAAAAGGGAAAATCGTCGTTAGTTTCTGCCTGATTAGCCTGTTTCTCTTCCGGTTGCTCATAAAATTCGTATTCTTCCTCAGGCTATCGACGTTTGGTGTTTGTCGCGAGTCTGGTGCTCTATGATCAAGTGATTTCGATCGAGGCGTACTATCCAGCGAACGAAATAACTTTGATTCATCGAGTATGTTTTCAGCCAAGTAAGGACTCGAAAATTAAGCCAGTAGTTTAAAGAGAGGTTAATTAAGCTCTATACTTCTCAACAAAAGTGATCACGGCAAAAATTTCAGCCTTCGTTGCACCGTATTTCATTTCTGTGGCGCAAACAACTTTACTACCATAAGCTACGGGTCGGTAACAGTTCTTCCATTCCTTTCTTTTTCTTGCTGGAGTGTGCACGAGAAAGCTACCACTGATGAGTCAGTATCCAACACGAACATTCCGGTGCTCTCCATGTCAGCGCCGCTTTGGCCGACTCAGGTTCTAGTCTGATCCGTGTTTGTCTACCAGGCTACGCAGGTAATTTATGGAGTACCTCAAGATTTCTCCTTTGGACAGTTTGCATTTTAAGCCGGCCTGTTTAATGCAATTGAAGACTTCGTCTAGCCTTCTTATATGAACTTTCAGGGTCGGCGTTGCAATCAAAACATCGTCAGTGAAGCACAAAATCAGGTTTCTAACATTCTTTGCTAAGTTTGTAAGTTCTTGAGCCATTAACCGTTGAAACGTATCTGTCACATTGCACAGTCCAAGTGGCATTATCTTCCACTTGCACAGTTCCAATTTGCACGCAAAACCTTTTTTTTTACCCTGTTTCCTGAGAGGCACCTGTGCCAGAACGCGCAGATCCCAAATCCAACGTCGTGAAGAATTTTCAACGTCTCATAAATTCAAGAGACTTCCTTCAATGCGCGGGATTGGACACGCATCTTTGATCGTTACGGCGTTCAGATAGCAAATATCACAGCAAAACTTAAGTTGCTCTTTTCTTAACCATGACCACACCACAAACCCACAGAGACTTGGATGGCTCAATCATATCATATTCCAACAATCTTTCAATTTCTTCCCTGTATGCCCCTGGCTTTTGTTCGGTCATTCTCCTAAATCCTACGCTGTGAGGTACCGAATCCTCATCTATTTCCTTCTCGTATTCTACAAAATTGCAACAACCTATATCGGCCTTGGTTTCGAAAAAACGTCTGAGTTCCGATTCAGCACGTCCCTAGAGAATTCTAGCCCTTTATCTGATTGTTTGCCCTTAACGTACTCTTTTTCAGGTAAGACTGGTTTTTTGCTGCTAATTTTGCATCTAATGGTCTTTCAGGGAAGTTGAACAGCTAGAAAGCCCATCGTCTAACATTTCAGGGAAGTTGACTAGCTAGAAAGCCCATCGGCTGCATACTATGGACTGCTCAGGGCAGGCCATAGTATGCAGCTGGAAGTGTACATTTTTTTAAAGGATCCAAAAATCCAACCGATATGCAGGAGTTGCGGTGAAGACAAAGAAACCCTTGATGTCTGAATATTCGAGTGCCGAAAACAATGGCAGCGAAACGAGATACCACTGAATGCGCCGACCACTGAATGAAAATTCAATCAGGACAGAAGACCCAAAAGGGTCGATAGAAATGGCTAAGCGGTTTCTAACTAGACTACACTTAGGCTTCCATATACAACTCAAAACAAAACAAAAACAAAAACAACAGATTTGGTTTCGTATGGCCACAAAATGTATTTAAATGGTGGTTTCCCTGTTGTGATAAACGATCCCTTTCGACAATTAAATTCGATAAGATCCCCATTGTCAATAAGAAATAACAACCGTTTACTACTTGTCATAGCGTAAACTCCAGGAAATTCAGATTCCGGTAATACTCGATGGAAAAAAGTCGCTTCAACTGAAATTGGTGAAGTTGTTTTGAGGACTTGGATATCATCGCCGGATCCCTTTTCAATGCCATAAATTTCCAGAAGATCTTCTCCAAAATTGACTCTAGTATGAAACTGCGGGCCAGAAGTTTGTTCCATTTCAAAACATTGTCCAACAACAGTGTCGCCAGCGGATGATGACACCACTTTTTTCATTAGATTGTCAAAATCTGGTTTGATGTGATCGATTGTAATAGGTGAGGTTAAAGTAATTGGAGGCTCTTGGGATATTGCGATTTGGTACTTTGTTTCGAAATCGCCCAAATCGGATAGAATATCGGAGAAACTTTCTTGCATCTCATCGAAAGAAGTACCCAGCAGGGTTTTCAATTCGGCCTTCAGGTCCGTTATGCTATCAATGCTGGAATTCCACTCTT